CACATTGTAACTATATTATTTGGAGAGATGCTCTAAGATCAATAAGTGGCCATGATAAAGTAGAAAATGTGTTTTCCTCAGGATCAGGGACATCATGTGAAGATGGCTTTTGAGTGGGAGCAGTAGTATTAGGATGTACTACTATTAGTCATACAATAAGTAATATTTGGAACATGCATTTTTGCTTACTCCAGTGGGTGAATCCTGTGTTAATCCTCAATACAGAAGAGGCCACAGATTAATCATAACTAAGTAAGATAAATTCTCAGAGGGACTGAGGAAATGTGATTTTTGTTTATTTTTCCTGATGGTCTGATGCAGTCTGGGACAGAACTAAATGAGAGAGGGATTGACAATAACAATGAACTTTCCCACACGTTTGATGTCTTAAATGAGCTTTGGAAGTGGCTGCTTCTTACTCTATTTGAAATTAACCAAAGCTTCTGGTTGCACACAATAAGTTCAGCTTTGTTAAAAGTAATGGACATAACCAGCAATCCCATGGGCATCATAAAATATAATTTGCCAAGCTTCTACAGAGAAAGAAGAGATAAGATCTGAATGCAAATGAAACAACACAAGATAAGCCGAATTTTTATCAATTTCTTTTTAAACATTTAAAATCTATATTGATGTTATTTTTATATAAAATGTTTGATACATAGAAAAATCTGTGTAACATGTATGTAAGTTATTAATAAAGTGAATAGCCATGAACCCATCACTCAGTTTAAGACCTAGAACATTACCAGTACACTGCAGTTTCCCATGTCCTTTTCCCTCTTGTCTATGTCCTTCCCCTCCCCTCAAAAGTGAATGTGATTCTAGATTTTAACTTATCATGTTAATTTTGAAAAACTTTTTTGGGGTCAAGAAATAGAATATTGGAAGAAACTCAGAAGCTTTCCTGAGCACTTTTTTGGTCATAAACCCTTCTCTTTCCCCGAAAGATAATTATTAACTTTAATAGCCATCACACCCTTACTTTTCCTGTTAGTTTTACTACTGAGGTATGCATCCTTAAACACCATACTGTAGTTTTGTCTGGTTATGAACTTTATGAAAAGGAATCAAAAGTATGCACTTTTTGGTCTGGTTTCTTTTGCCATAGAGTGTTTATTTTCATTGTTATATAGTAAAACATTGTATATACAATTGTTGATGGACATTTGGTTTGTGTCTAATTTTTGTAAAGCACATGGCTCACATGTGTGAGTACTTCTGTAGGGAATATCATCAAGAGTAAAACTGCTCAGTCATAGGTTGGACATATCTTCAATTTGAATAAATAATGATAAACATTTTCCAAGATAGTAGAACTTGGAAATTTAATCTCTCACCAGGAGTCTATGAAACCCCATTTGCCCACACGTTACCAACATTTGATATTGTTACACTTTTAAATTTTAGTCTTTATGAAATCACAGAAAATATATATGTTGGTCTGTGTACCCCCCCCATTCCAGAGGTTAGGCACAGAGCTTCTAAAACCTTGCAAATAATTTCCTAAGTGATAGCAACACTAGTTCCATTTTTTTGTTTTAATATTTGATCATTGGGTTATACTCAAGTTTTGCTATTATGGACAATGCCACAATTTTTATAATATTTAATGAAATTATTTTTTAAACAATCTAAATAAATGGAGACATATGCCATATTCATGCATAAGGAGATTCCATATTGCAAACATGTCCGTTTTCCCTGAGTTGATTTATAGATTCAATTCACTTTTCAAACAAACAAAAAACCTCAACAAGCTTGTTAATCATGTTGTATTTGAGTGAAATAATTTTTGCATTCCAGTGAGATAATTGATTCACTCAAATATTCTCAATGATATAATAAGTGAAAGGTGGTTGGGAAAGGATATTTACACAATGCCAAGGTATCATGCCACAGCTTATTTGCTAATTGCAACGGGAAATGCACTTTTACAATGGAGAGGTCTGGCAGTTACTCTCTTACCAGTGAACAAACTCAGCATCAATAATGGTGGGACAGTCAATCATGATGTGACTCTTGATGTGATGCAGTATAAAGTACCCAACAATAAATATGACTTATTTGTGCCAAAAGTATTGAATCTGAATTTAACCATACTCTCAAGACTAATTTCCCACTTACAGGAAATATAGGATATAGAGGAAAAAATTAAATAACATTCTCCAGAAATTATCAGACAAATCCAGAATGTAGGACAGTCTATAGGATAACTAACCTGATAGCTAAAAAAAAAGTCAATGTTATGAAAAAAATGGCAAGGGGACTATTCTAGAATAGAAGAGACTTAAGAGACATAATAATCAAATATGATGTATGTGCCTTGACTGGATCCTATTACAAAAAAACCCACTAATTTTTGAAGACATTTTTGGAGAATTGTGGAAATTTAAATATGGATTGAATATGAGATGATTATAGGGAATTGCTAACTTTCTCAGGTGTGATAATGGCATTCTAGTTATGGAGGAGGGGACTCATATTTTTAGCAAATTAGCACTGAAATCTTTAAGAGTGAAATGTCATAATGCCTATTTTCAAATGTATAGAAATGAAAATAATCTCTACAAATACACTCACATATAAGTAAAGCAAATTTGTCATATATTAAAAATTATTGAATCTAGGGTGCCTGAGTGGCTCAGTCGGTTAAGCGTCTGCCTTCGGCTCAGGTCATGATCCTAGGGTCCTGGGATCGAGTCCCACATCAGGCTCCCTGCTCAGCGGGAAGCCTGCTTCTCTCTCTCCCACTCCCCCTGCTTGTGTTCCCTCTCTCACTGTGTCTCTCTCTGTCAAAAAAATAAATAAAATCTTTAAAAAAAAATTATTGAATCTAGGTGGTGATTATTCAGGTGGTCATTGTACTATTCTTTCTGTATGCTTGAAATTTTCATAAAAATCACAGAAAACCACATCAAATTGGATTATGGAAACTTCAGTGGGAATTTTCATACAACTTAGCAAGTTGATTTTAAAATTTATATGGAAGAAAGGGCCAGAAAAAACCTTTTTCATGGAAAAGGGTGATAAATAGCCAAGACATAGTTGAAATAGAACCAGATGGGGACATTTATTATAAGATATGGTAATTAGGACAGTGGTATTGGCCAGTGATAGATAACAAGCCAAGAAGAAGATTAGGGATCCCAGGAAGAGATCTTAAATTTATGGAAACTTCATATATGACAGAAATGGTGTTGCAGATAAACAGGCAAAGGATAAACCATTCAGTAAATGGGCTGGGACAATTAGTTTTCCGTATGGAAGAAAATGAAGTTGGATTTCCATATCACATCATACATAAAAATCTATTCTAGATAGATTGTAGTTTAAATGTGAAGGGCAAACTTAAAAGAGTATCTTAGAGAGTAACTTAGAGAGTCTCTTTATGACTTCGGGGTAGGAAAGATTTTTTTTTTAAGATTTTATTTATTTATTTGACAGAGAGAGACACAGCAAGAGAGGGAACACAAGCAGAGGGGGTGGGAGAGGGAGAAGCAGGCTTCCCACTGAGCAGGGAGCCCGATAAGGGGCTCGATCCCAGGACCCCAGGATCATGACCTGAGCCGAAGGCAGATGCTTAACAACTGAACCACCCAGGCGCCCCTAGGAAAGACTTTCTTAAAAAAAAACCATACAAAATCCTTAACAACAATAGAGGACTGAAATACGATATTAATTTTAGGAATCTGTACATAAAAAATCATAAAATGAAGAGACAAAACAAACTAGAAGAACATATTTTCATATATATATAACAAAATTAAAGGATAACATGTGAAATGCAAAAAAACCCACAAAACAACAACAAAAAACCCTTAAAATCAGTAAGAAAAAGTTAACCCAACAGAGAAGTAGGCAAAAGATGTATTTGATAGAGAGATTGAAAGAAGTTGAACGTTTGATTTTGAATGTCTCAGTTCTGAGCCCAGCATAAGGCAATAGTAGTAAACAAAAGAGATAAATAGCCTTGCCCTTGAGTGACTAATATTTTAGTGGGTAACATTGGTAAAGAGAAATAAGAACTCAAGACTGAAAAAGAAACTGAGTCAATGGTGTGGTGGAAAGAGAGCAGGCTCTGTGGTCAAACTCCTGGATACAGTCCCAGCTTCTCCTCTGACTAACTCTGGCATCTTGTGAGCATTACTCCAATTCTTCAAGCTTCCGTTTCCTCTTCTGGGAATAGCAGCATCCACCCCATATGGTTGTTGAGAAAGTTAAATGAGATGATGATACACGCAAAGCACTTAGCATGGTGCCTGTTATATAATAATCACCCAATAAATACTAGATCTTCTCTTCTTGATCTTCTATTATTAATAACAATCCCACTGAATGGCTCTAAGTTAAATCCTGAAACCACCACACAACATTTTGCAACACATTTGCACCATCAATGCCGGGCAAGTGGACTGTGGATCCTGTGGCTGCCCTGCTTGTTCCCGGAAACTCAACTGGTGCAAAGTCAATTTCAGTTACTTAGGGAATAAACCAAGCAGGCACTCATAGAGAAGGGCATTGATGAGCTCACTGGTGAGAATATAAAGAATGAGAAGAAAATCCAGAGAAAAGAGTGTCTCCCTTAAGGGACGAACAGAGGCAGTGAATCCCATAGAAGACACTGAAAAGCAGCCACAAAGAGTCAGAGAGACAACTGACAGGGCAGTGATTTGGAGCTCAGGGAAGAAAGGGCTTCTGGGAGGGAGGGGGTGATTGACGGTGCCTCATGCTGCTGAGAGGTGCATTAAGGACTCACAAATATCTTCTGGGTTCAGCAAGGAGGAGGTTGTTTATGACCTTGCTGAAAACAGTTTTGCAGGGTCAGGACGAGGGGAGGAAGGGGGACAGAAGCCAGGTTGCCTTGGGTTGTGGAATTGGTGGGAGGCAAGGGTGGAGGCAATGAGTGTCTCTCAAGATCATTGGTTAGTAGGGGACGGAGAGAACCAGAGGGACGTGGACTTAAGATACCCAGGAGGTTTGTTTTGTTTTGCTTAAAGATGGGAGAGATTTGAGGATATCTAAATGCAGACGTGAAAGAACCTGAAGAAATGAAAAGTTTGAGAAGTGGGAGCGAGAGAAGATTCTGCTGTAGTAATAACCTCCTGAGGAAGAAGAGCAAATGTGTATGGAGAGTCTACTGCCCAAGAGACATACTGAAAAATAGAAGATGGTCCCTGACTGCCACAAAATACGGGGCCAAGGCAAGTTGTTTTACCTCTCTTTCTCTTCCACTCTCTTTGCCCAAAGTGGTAACGTCTTTTAATTGGAAAAAAGAGGACTGAACTTAATAAATATTTTCAACTTTAAGTAAATTTTATGCTGTGAAATATAAAGTATTAAGAATGTTCTAAATGTTCTAAATCCTGAACACTTTCACCTGGGACATGTTCTCAATCTGCAATTACATCTCCAATGGTAGCAAATCATCATGAACAGATTTAGGGGGAGGCACACAAGGGACCCCAGAGTTCTTTTTCTGATGGTGGTGATGGGCCAGAGATGTTAGTTATATCATTTTTCTTTATAGTTACTCTTTATGGTTTTCTTTCTATATGTGCTTGATATTTAATAAGAGCAATTATAAAACTGCTTTGTAATAGAGCAGAAGATGTGTTTTTAATGTTGCAGTTCTTAGATTGGATAGTGGGCTCATGAGTATGTGTTTTATAGGCATACACATACATTTATACTTTTGTATGTATCAAATCTTACAAAACACAATCCGTTTTGAAGTTAAAACCGGAGAGAGGCAGGTACTCCATGAACTTGGTGAAGATTATCAGTCTGGAAATCTTAATTAGGAAATTCCTGTTTCTGCGTGGGGATAGGTTTGGGGAGATGAGGAGGAACGGGTGGGAGGAGGAATTTGCTTCTGAGTCAGAGTTATGCAGTCTTTGCGTTGGCCTCTGTGCTCTGCGGTTCGTTGCCATAGGTGAGGCCCCATAAGCCTTGGGTCAAGTGCCTGGGGCCACTGGGTCTAGTTGACAGACTGGGTCAAGGCTGATGTAACGCATGTGTCCTTACCTGGTCTCTAGATGGGGACGAAGGAGTAGCCACATCCTTTGAAATGTTGATGCTGCAATGGCAGTCCTCCAATATACAGAACTGGCCGAGAAGCAGCAGAACTGAGGTGGGAACTGGACCAATTCCAGACAGCACATGGATGCTAGCGGGAGGCGATAGGTGGGGGTTATCCCAGAGTGGTAAATCTGAGAAACAGCACTCCTGTGGCTCCTCCTGAAATCACAGCCTCCTATTTCTGCCTTCTCTGGACCAGCCATGGCTGCTGCCGGCTTCAGGGTACAACGGGAGGGGGGATGTGGAGGGTGTTGATGCTAGTGAAGTATTTGGATTCCCAGGTCTCTCTCCAGACGTGCTGCCTTCTGATCTCTAGATGATGACTCTAGAATCTTTTTAACGGTCTCATTTGGGAAACAGGCACAGAGGAAAGTGCATCCTAAATCTGGGGGTTTGGCCTGTTAACCTATTCTTCCTTTGGCCCTCTGCTGCAAATGTGTGCTTTGATTTGTGCCTGGTGATTTCCACCCCAGCATGATTGCAGACTCTGTAGTAACACGTGGGCACCTTACTGTGATAGAAATATAGAATGTTGTAACTCAAAGGACCCTTTCAAAAGTCAGGGAAAGGGACAAGTACCTACTATTCTCTAGAGAGCATTCCAGACACTTTTACAAGCATTATCTCATTTATTTCGTATAGCCACCTCCAGTGGGTAACATTATTTCCTTTTATACAGAAGGAAAATGAGGCTCACACAGGTTAAGTAACTCACCCCAAATCTTAGCTTTGCTAAGACTTATTTGAACACTCTTTGGTTGACATTGCTTTTGAGATCAGCAAGATGCTTGATCTTGGGGAGAAATAAACAAAGCACAGAGATGTGAAGTGACTTCCTGGAAGTCACATGGGGAATTATAGCAGATCCAGGGTGGGTCCCAGGACCCCAGGCTCTGTTCTGGGGCGCTTCCTATGAAGTTGTGCAGGCGCCTTCCTGTGGGAGGAAACCAGGGTCCTGTGAGCCCCATCGAGATCTCCTGCATCGAGTTCTTCCTGGTGGAAATGCCTCCCATGGAGGTTTGCTCTCTGGACCGTGTTCTGTCCTTCTTGGCTAGCTTCACCGATCAAACTCAAACACATGTCTCTCTGCCAACATCTCAGACCTTTTTTTTTTTTTTTTTTAAAAGATTTTATTTATTTATTTGACAGAGAGAGAGAGATAGAGCAGGAACACAAGCAGGGGGAGTGGGAGAGGGAGAAGCAGGCTTCCCGCCAAGCAGGGAGCTGGATGCGGGGCTCAGTCTCAGGACCCTGGGATCATGATCTGAGCCAAAGGCAGACGCTTAACGACTGAGCCACCCAGGTACCCCAACATCTCAGACCTTTATATTATCTGTCTCTCATTTGCTATTTCCTGTACATGGGTAGAAAATAAGAAAAGTACAGTTGACTCTTGAACAACTCAGGTTGAACTACAAGGGTCTACTTCTATGTGGATTTTTTTTTGATAGATACTGTACTGTAAATGTATTTTCCTATGATTTTCTTCATAATATTTTTTTTCTAGCTTACTTTATTGTAAGAACACAGTATATAATACATATAACATACAAAATAGGTCTTAATTGACTTTATGTTCTTGGCAAGGCTTCGGGTCAACAGTAGGCTATTAGTAGTTAAGTTTTTGAGGAATCAAAAGTCATATGCAGGTTTTTGACTGCACGGGGGTCAGTGCCTTTAACCCCTGAGTTGTTTGAGGATCAACCGTGCATCAAAGCAAATGTTTAGATGAGGTTTTTACAGAAGTTTCTCTTGAGATAGAAGTTAGGCCTTTTGTTTTAGTGGTTGCCTATGACGACTTGCCTTGTTCTCATTAAAAAAGTACAGGAGGAAGGTTGCCAGGCGGGGGCAAAAATGCAGAGAGGTAAACGACTCAGTGGGCAGCAGGCTGTGTTCTTTGACCGGTGAACTTCCTCAAGGTCACGGTTTGTGCCCAGCAGCCTCAGGACACCGCAGGGAGCATGGACCTGCACATTTCTCCTCCTCCTCCTCTTCCTCCTCACCCCCATTCCAGAACCTCACAGTGTTCTGAGAACATGCTCTGAGCTTGCTTCTTTCCACGCCGTCTCTCATCAAGTCCCCTCCGCCAGGGATGCCCTTCCTGATGTTCTCTCAATGCCTATTCCTGCTCTAAAACCAAATTTGAATTCTGCCTCCTTCATGAACATTTTTTTGTCCCTCCTGTGGAGATAACTGCACTCCCACATCAGACTTCCCAGCATTTGGTGTCTCTTACCTGTTCCACTAAATGTTACCCTGTTTTGTGCTGACTTCTGTTTCTGTCTTAGCTGCAGGATCAGAAGTTCCTTGAGGGTGAGGAATCCCGTGTTTCTCATCTTGTTTCCCTGCACTGCCTAGCACAGTACCTTCTAGGGTAACATCAGTGATTAAGGGACACTGTACTAAACCTCACAACAGGATCTCTGACATGGAGCCCAGCATTGGAAACACTGGGATGGCCTTCCACCCCCTAATTTCTGAGTGCCTTCTATCTGCAAAATCTTACAGCTACTCTCCCACAGTCCTCAACTTCTTCCCGTCTTTCTGCAGCTCTGCTTCTTTCAAAGAACCAGCTTCTAGTTTTGTTGATCTGATCTGCTGTGTTTCTGGTTTCTAATTCATTGATCTCTGCTCTAATCTTAATTATTTCTCTTCTAATGCATGGCTTAGGCATCGTTTGTTGCTTTTTCTCTAGTTCTTTAAGGTGTAGAGTTAGTAACAGACACATGAAAAAGTGTTCATCATCATTAGCCATCAGGGAAATTCAAATCAAAATCACACTGAGATACCACCTTACACCAGTTAGAATGGCAAAAATTGACAAGGCAAGAAACAACAAATGTTGGAGAGGTTGTGGAGAAAGGGGAACCCTCTTACACTGTTGGTGGGAATGCAAGTTGGTACAGCCACTTTGGAAAACAGGGTGGAGGTGTCTCAAAAAATTAAAAATAGAGCTACCCTATGACCCAGCAGTTGCACTCCTGGGTATTTACCCCAAAGACACAGATGGAGTGAAAAGAAGGCCCATATGCACCCCAATGTTCATAGCGGCAATGTCCGCAATAGCCAAACTGGAAAGAGCCGAGATGCCCCTCAACAGATGAGTGGATAAAAAAGATGTGGTCCATATATACAATGGAATATTACTCAGCCATCAGAAAGGATGAATACCCAACTTTAAATCAACATGGATGGGACTGGAGGAGATTATGCTAAGTGAAATAAGTCAAGCAGAGAAAGTCAATTATCATATGGGTTCACTTATTTGTGGAACATAAAGAATAGCATGGAGGACATTAGGAGAAGGAAGGGAAAAATGAAAGGGGGGAGATTGGAAGAGGAGACGAACCATGAGAGACTGTGGAGTCTGAGAAACAAACTGAGGGTTTTAGAGGGGAGGCGGATGGGGGCATGGGTTAGCCCAGTGACGGGTATTAAGGAGGGCATGTACTGCATGGAGCACTGGCTGTTATATGAAAACAATGAATAGTGGATCACTACATCAAAAACTAATGATGTAGTGTATGGTGACTAACATAACATAATAAATTAAACAAAACAAAACAAAACAAAACCCAAAATATATCCTACAAAACTTTAAACAAAGGTATGCAACAATTTTTCCCTCTTTGGAGTAAAAGTGCTGAAATAAAAAAAAAGAAATTTCTTTTTATTCTTTTGGGTTTAATTTGCTCTGTTTTTCTAATCTATTGAATCTGATACTTTAATAATTGACTTTCAGTTTTTCTTCTTATTTAATATACACATTTAATATTATGGAGTCTTCTTTAAGTACTGCTTTAGCTGTGTTTGCAAGTTCTGATGTCATGTTTTTATTTATTCAGTCTTTCCTCAAAATACTTTCGTTTTTAAAAAATTGTTAAAAATTTAGTTATTTATTTGAGAGAGAGAATGAGCTCACAAGCAGGGGGAGTCGCAGAGGGAGAGGGAGAAGCAGGCTCCCTGCTGCTGAGCAGGGAGCCCGACGAGGGGCTCGATCCCAGGACCCTGGGTGGAAGGCAGACGCTTAACCGACTGAGCCACCCAGGTGCCCCTCCTCAAAATAGTTTCTAATTTTATTTGCAATTTCTGCTTTGACCCATGGGTTATTAGAAGCATTACTGCTTGATGCCAACTTATGTTGAGCACTTTTTCATGTGTCTGTTGGCCACTTGGATGTCTTCTTTGGGGAAAAAAACAAAAACAAAAACAGCATTACTGCTTGATTTCCAAGCAGTTAGAGATTATCTAGTTATTATTTTCATGTTGATTTGTAGTTTAATTTCACTATGGTTAGGGTGCTGAGTCATTTCTGTCCTTTCAAATTTGTTGAGGCTTGCTGTTATAGGTTCAACTGTGCTTTCCGAAAGATGTTGAAGTCCTTGTCCTCCGTACCTGTGAGTGTGACCTTACTTGGAAATAGAGTCTTTGCAGATTACCAAATTAAGATGAGGTCTTTGGGTGGCTCTAATCCAATATGACTGTGTCCTTATAAAAAGGGGAAAATTTAGACACAGAGACCAAAACATACCAGGAGAGCACCATGTAGAGATGAAGGTAGAGATTGGGGTAATGCGTTTACAAGTCAAAGAACACCAAAGATTGCCAGCAAACCTCCAGAAACGAGGAGAGAGGCATGGAACAAATTCTTCCTCACAGACCACAGAAAGAATCACTTCTGCTGACACCTTAATCTCAGATTCCTAGCCTCCACAACTGTGAGATAATACATTTCTGTTGTTTAAGCCACCCAGTTTGTGGTGCTCTGTTATGGCAGCCCGAGGAAACTAATACACTTGCTTCATGATTCAGGAAATGTTCAGTTTTGCCAAATGTTCCATGTGTACTTGAAAAGACTGTATTTTGTGCCATTGTTCAGTGCAATATTCTCTATATGTATATTAATGAACTTAAATTTGTTAATTGTGTTCCTTAGGTCTTCTATAGCCTTACTGATTTCTTGGATACTTGTTCTGTCAGCTATCAGGAGAGGTATGTTAAAATCTCTCTCTATGATTTTGGATCTGCCTGCTTCTGTTTTTAGTCTTTAAATTTTTGCTTCATGCTAGGTTCTTGGATACATATATATTCAAGATTGTCATATCTTCTTGGTAAATTGATTTATCATTATGAAGTTATTTCTTTTTTCTCTAGTAATATTTTTTGTCCTCCAGTATTTGTCTGATATTACTATGGTTATACTAACTTTTTTGGGGTGAGTGCATAGTATATCCTTTTCCAACATTTTACTTTCAATCTTTCTGTGGCCCTGTCCTGAAGATGTGTCTCTTATAAGTAGCATCTAGCTTTAAAAAAATCCAATTTGATTTTTTTTTAAACTAGAGAGTTAGCCAATTTATAAGTAGTGGAATTGTGGATAAATCTGGGTCATCTACCATCTTACTATTTGTTTTCTATTTGACCTACCTGTTTTATGTTTTTCGTTCTTTCCTTTCTTGTCTTCTTTTGGATTAATCAAATAATGTTTCTATTGTTTTACTCCTATCCTCTGTATTAGTTTGTTACTTATATATTCTTTTAAGTTCTTTTAGTGGGTTATCATAGAGATTACAACACACCTCCTTGACTTAATACCACTTTAGTATAAATAAGTTTACCATTCTCTTGACAAAAAATAGAGCCTTAGAACACTCAAGTTATATATAAACCCTTCCTGTTTTTGCATTTTGTTGTCATATATTTTATTTCTTTCTATATTTTAAACCTCACAAATTCAAATCTTAGTTGGGAAGGAAATGTTAGCTTCATGACACTTGATACACACCTCTTCCCAGCTTTACCTAGACTAGCATTGGCAAACTCATTGGTAAGTTGGTACTTTTTAGTTCACACCTGAAAACTTATCCTATCTACATATATTTTAGACTCTAACTGTCCATTTTAGCTCTGGAAATTCTAATTTGAGAATTAAAATTTAGGAAAGGATTTCTAAACTTCCCTGGTTTGGTGCACCTTCATTGTCCTGAAAACTGGAATAAGAATTTTAAAATAAGGAGCTTTTCAGAGTCAGCAGTTGCTGGGACAGAAATCCAATGTAAGCAGTGCAATGCTTTGAGTGCTTCTTTGGTCACCAAAAGTGTTAGGGATTGGAGGACCTGGGCCCCCACTTTGTTCTTGGACCACTTGAATACGTAGCCCCAAATTCCCAAGGTAATTTTTTATTAGCTTACAAAAGTAACATTTAGACCATTAGCTCCCTGACCGTTTCTTTCACTCTCAGAAGCTAATCTCCCACTCCACAAGAGGCAAGAGGTATGATCTCTGGAAAAATAGAATCAGAGAGTCTCTGGACATAAGGCAAAGTGAAGATTCTGAGCTGAAAGGATAAGGAATGTTTTTTTTTTTTAATATATATAATTTTAATCTTTATCTCTAGTTTTTTTTTAAATTTTATTTTATTATGTTATGTTAATCACCATACATTACATCATTAGTTTTTGATGTAGTGTTCCATGATTCATTGTTTGCGTATAACACCCAGTGTTTTTAAACAGTGAGACCAACAATCCCCTTTCTTCAACTGGTTCTCAGAAAGCATTCCCGAAGCAAAGAGTTTTGATGATACTTCTCTGGAAATACTAATATCTTCAGAGGAAATATCTACCAATACTGACATATGAGTGAGTCTCCAGGGAAAAGTGGACTTCCGGCAGGCATATCCTGCTCATGCACATAGAACTCTTACATTTTTTTAGTGTGCCTCTCTTACATAAAGATGGAAACCCAAGGATCACCAGACATTTTTAAAGAGATTTTTTTTTAAAGACTTTATTTATTTATTTGAGAGAGAGCATGAGCTGTGGAAGGGGCAGGGGCAGAGGGAGAAGTGGACTCCCTGCTGAGCAGGCAGCCTGACATGGGGCTCGATCCCAGGACCCTGGAATTATGACCGAGCTGAAGGCAGACGCTTAACCAAGTGAGCCACCCAGATGCCCCTTTAAAGAGAGTTTTAAGAAATTTTTTGAGATCCCAGAAAATTGACTTACCACATATATTTTATCAGGAATTTACCAGAGAATGTGCTCCACCAAAGTAAGTGAATAAACCAAGAAAGAAGAAGATACAGGATGTATGAGCCAGAGGATCCGATTTAGAACAGCACTAATGGACAATCCTCAAATGATACAGCTGTGCAGCCATCCTGGAGAAGCAACCTATGCGGAGAGAAGCCCCAGGCTGGCGGCTCTGGGAGGGCGGAGTGCGCTTGACAGAGAGGGAGTACATGATATATTTACAAGACAGCCAAAGACGATTCACCTTTATATAATTGAAGACTGTGAAAAAACAAAAACAAAACAATGAAGTAAAACTAGTACATAAAAATTATATTTCAAGAAAAAAATCTGCTGAAATAAAACCTGCATTTACATGTTGAAAAGTACACACCATGACTTTGGGGGAATATCTGTGACAGTGACAGTGAACTCTAGACATGTCCTAATAAAACGATTAGATCTTGAAGATAAAGGACAAAATCTGGGCCTCCAGGTGAAAAACCAAAATCACTTACAGAAGGAAGAATATTAGGGCTTCATCAGACTTCTCAACAACCACATTCAATGCAGAAAGTTGCTGAGGAAATTCTGTAGGATACAAAAGGAAATAAGTATGAGCCAATGATGGCATAACCAACCAATCTATTCTTCAAGTATCAAGGATACATAAAATCTGTTTTGAATATGCAAGTACTTGTTGGCTTATCCTGTGTAATCTACTAGAAGATAAGCTTCAGCCAACCAAGTGATGATTGGAGAAACAAAGGCCAAAGAATTGATGGTAAGCACTGGATACATTCAACTGTAGACCCAAGATTAAATCAAAGGAGGAAGTAAGAGTGGAAGAATAGTATCTAAATGCTCTGTGTATGGTAAAGGATAAAACATCAAAACTATAAAAATATGAGAGAAGGAGGAAAGGAAAAGGGAAATAAAACAAGCTAAGTGATTGCCACACGTGGGAATGAAAGAATATGATATAAACTCGTCAAATCTAATAGTAGAAGCCAAGTTAAGGTTAAATATGCCAAGATACGTACTAAAGATACTATTTAATGACACCACAGTAGCAGAGTACTCCCAGTGGCCAGATTCTGGTTTATTAATACCATTTTCTTTTTTTTTTTTTTTAAAGATTTTATTTATTTATTCATGAGAGACAGAGAGAGAGAGAGAGGCAGAGGGAGAAGCAGGCTCCCAAGGAGCAGGAAGCCCACTGCGGGACTCAATCCCACGACCCTGAGATCATGACCTGAGCCGAAGGCAGATGCTTAACCATCTGAGCCACCCAGGCGCCCTATTAATACCATTTTCCACAAAAAGAAGCAGGACTCCTTGGGGTAGGTGGCTGGTTTTGGGTCTGGGGCAGAGAATGTATAAGATGAGCCTGGAATAACTTGTTTTGCAGAAAGCAGGTAAGCACTCAAGTATAACAGAATCATGTCAAAAGGAGTCAGGAGGCAGCCTGGAGGGCTCCTACTGGCCGAAGTTGGGACAATTTGAGGATCCAAAAAAAGAACCAAAACAAAAAACCCCCAAAACCCCAATGACTATAGATGATTAAAACATATTAAACATATGAAAAGTCAGTAAATCTCTAATCATACTGAAAAAAATCCCAAACAAACAAAACCTTGCTTACTAATCATTGGGGGTGACTACTACAGCTACTCCTTACCTTGGATATAGTAATTAAAGGGAAAGGATCAAGCACAGAGTAAGGATTTATATCAGGACAACTGCATTGTTTCAGTTCTTAAGGGCAAACTCTTTCTCACTGAAGAATGTCTACTAAAAACTAAAAAGAGTTGAAGAGCTAGACCGTTACAAAATATTACTGTCCAGAGCCAGAGCTAGTCCCAAGGGCAAAAACAAGAATTTATGGTGGAGGGATCTGGTAATTCCCACCTCACCCCGATGATTAAATCAGTACCTGACGGTGGGATAACCAGATGCCACATGCTCTTTCCAGCTGGGATGCATGGCGACACACAGAGTATCACCTGTGATCACCTATGTCAAAAATGTTTAAACAAAATCTCATTAAGCCTTTTGATCTAACTTCATTTTATAAGACATGCAGAGGGTACAGAAAAAAAAAAAATTTAAACCACTAGGAAACCAATAGACAAAGCCAGGATGTGGCTGTTCTAAAGACAGTCACTTTGGTTTCTTCAGTAACAGAAGAAGAAAGGAAAGGGTGCTTATTCTCACGTAAAAGAGACCTCAGGGACATAGCCACCAAATGTAGTGCGTGGTACTTGCCTGGACATTGGTTCAAATAAACCAGTTATAAAAGATATTTTTTGGGGGGAGGTTACAGGTAACTGGAAAATTTGAGTGTAGATTAGGTATTCGTTGATATTAGGAGAGTATTACGAATTTTTTTATGTGTGAAAAATGCTATTGTAATTATATAAATAGGTCCTTACTTTTCAGAGATGCATACTTAGATATATAGGGGTGAGAGATTATAATATCTATTACTTGAAAATAACAGAAGAAAACAAAAAGAAGCGAATATTGCCAAACATTTACAATTTTGAAGTCTAGGTGATGGGTATATGTGTGTTCATTAGATCATATTCTCTGCTCTTTTGTATGTTTGAATGTTGAAATAATACAAATTTAAAAAGCGTTTTGCAGCTGAACATGTCTGACAACTGAAATGTCTGGCTGCCTGAATGTTCCTGGTTTGTCTTTGAGATTAGTGGCGAGGGAACTGGAAGTTATTGGCTACAGAGATAGCATTGTTCCTTCACTGGCTGCGAGCTTCGAGGCCCGCAATCACAAGGTTGGATAGTGGCCAGCAGGACAACTGGCCAGGACATAGATCACAGGCTGTGACTGTCTGTCTGAGGACTTCTTTCTCAGTTCCTGCCCTGAGGCTTTGAGTACTGTCTTACTGGGGTCAAACTGTCCTGGATGAAGTCCCTTAAACAGGGGAGCCATCGTTCAGATGGACTTTTGCAGCTTGTGGTCTTCCCTGTACCCCTTTAGGCAGGCTCAGTTGGGGTTAATTATTTGTTATCTTTAGCCCTGAAAGTCATTTATCCTCACATACTTGTATCTCTGGCCCAGTAGAAGCATAGGAGCTTGGGAGAAAGCATGAACCTCCTTTATAAAATGAAATAACTGTATCTTTCCCTGAAAACACCAGATTTGGGGGAAATCGAGACTTCAGTAATTAAATAGTTGATGTTCTAGTTTTTAACCTCAGCATATTATATACAGATCCACTGTAGTAGATACCTGAAAATTCTAGGTGATCCTTCCCTTTACAGATGAAGATGTTGAGATGCAGAGAAAGTGAGGAATTCATTAGTGGCAGAACTGAGGCTAGAACCCAGCTCTCTTCATGTCGGGTTCAAACTCTTTTCAACTTACCATACTTCCTACTGACTGGCTCCAAATTCTTTTTTTTTTTAAGATTTTATTTATTTATTTGACAGAGAGAGACACAGCGAGAGAGGGAACACAAGCGGGGGGAGTGCGAGAGGGAGAAGCAGGCTTCCCGCCGAGCAGGGAGCCCGATGTGGGGCTCGATCCCAGGACCCTGGGACCATGACCTGAGCCGAAGGCAGACGCTTAAGGACTGAGCCACCCAAGTGCCCCAAACTTTTTTCTTTTCAAAGATTTTATTTTGGGGGCTCCTGGGTGGCTCAGTTGGTTAAGCACCTGACTTGAGCTCAGGTCATGATCTCAGGGTCCTGGGATTGAGCCTCTTGCTCAGCAGGGAGTCTGCTTCTTCTCCCTCTGCCCCTTATCCTGCCCCTGCTCTCTCTCTCTCTCAAATAAATAAATAAAATCTTAAGACTTTATTTTATTTTACTTTATTTATTTTTTTAAAAGATTTTATTTATTTATTTGAGAGAGAGAGACATAGCGAGAGCAGGAACACAAGCAGGGGGAGTGGGAGAGGGAGAAGCAGGCTTCCCGCCGAGCAGGGAGCCCGACGCGGGGCTCGATCCCAGGACCCTGGGATCATGACCTGAGCCGAAGGCAGACGCTTAACGACTGAGCCACCCAGGCGCCCCGGCTCCAAATTCTTTGCCTCCATTCAGACCCTTCCCTGGTGATACAAGAAGTTTTTTAGATGTTTCTGCTCTCATGCACCTTGCAACATACTTGGATAAACATTTTCAGGACCAGATTGTGCTTCACTTGGAAAATTGGGGGTGTCACAGTACCTGTAACACAGGGCAGCCTATGGAGGGGGCAAATGAGTGATGCATGCAGATGTCAGAAGTTGCTGCTGGAAAAAGACACCGAGGGAGGTTGGTTGCGTGATATCCTTAAATCATATTTAGTCTTGTAGGGCAAGGAACTTGGTTTCGTCTGTGTTCACAGAGAGCACAAGACTGTCCAGGCCCAATCCACCCAGTGAAATTTGCAAGAGATCTCTTTGTAAACCAGAACGCCATTTTTTTGGTTTTCAGGGGAGGACATGCCTGTCCAGAGGCCCCAGATATTTGTGCCTGTATTCAGAGCATCCTGTCCTCAAGAGACAAAGAATCAAAACCATTACCAACATTTTGCCTGGTGAATTTTGCCTCAGAGCAAAAATGTTGGGTAGACGAGGAGGGTAGAATAACTTTATGTGATCAGACCATCAGCTCATCCAGTTCAGTGCCTTCACTGTACCTCCTTTGGACCCAGTGGGATTAACATTTGCTAAAACTTGCTCTTTGGTTTCATTTGTTCATATACATTAATAGGGTCAATGAGATAATTTTTTCCGCCTCAAGTTTATTCATACCTTGATTTGATTCCTAGGTCATTCTTCCTGCTTTGACCAAGCAATCATCATGTTCCTTTAGGTAAAGATATCATGAGACTTTTGCTAGCTCAACTTCTAGATGGTAAGTTAGTTCAAAGTCCCAGGGACATTGCTCTGTAGCTACCAGCCAGGCACTGAGCAAATGGGGAGTGCTCTTGGCCGGTGGTTCCCAGACAGGAAACCCCACTGGGGCTATGACTGAAAGTTTTGTCTGGTTAGAAGTCATTTAAGAAGCTCTGCTTAAGGCTGTGGTGGCTCTGTCAGTCATTCCTCCATGGCTGTTGCCAGTGCCTCCATCTCTGAAGGACCATTTTGAATAAGACTATCATGTCACCCATCACTTGACAGAGTCGTCTTCTCTCTAGGTGCCTATGTGGAATAAAATTATCCATAGAAAGCACATAGAATGGCATGCACATTTACAGCAATGGCTATACCTCAGGTGGGCTCCTCGAATTATTACCCTGACCTCACAGACAGCAAGCTTGAGGCACATAGATCTGAGGTGAGGTGAGATAGTGTGAGGTGATAATACCCAAAATATAATACCACAGATCAGTGGAGGAATTGACACTAGAACTTAGAAATATATGCCAGCATGCTTTCAGCTCCCGATGTTTCTCCAGAAGCTAGAAATAGGTCAAGGTTTCTCATGGTTAGTTTATAGTGAGGAAAACAAAAGTTGAGGGCCAAAGCAGGTCTGTGTGATCTCGACTAAATAACACCCGGGGAAGAGGGGAAACACTTTGACTATTGTTCAACAGTGGCTCCTCCACATCTTCCCATCCTGCTGCCCGGCATCTGAGCCCACCCAGCCTCTCAGGGGCTGTGCCAAAACCTCTGCTGGCCTGACCGTCTCTCAAGCAGGTGCAACGAGAGCCAGGGGGTGTTGGAAGCACACCTTCAGCTGGCCGCCCGCGCACCTGCTCCCTCTAGCTTGTGCCCCCCACGGGTCTACTGGCTACGGTTAGAAACCTCGCTTCCTGAAAGACTGAGTCACACCAGGAAACAATAGCCACCTTGGTGCTTTGAACATCCCTTTCCCCCTGGATTCAAGCCAGGCCCTCTCTTGCAGGATAGGAGGAGAGTGTGAGTTACTTTCCAGGTAAGAACCATCTGGTATCAAGCCCTTTCTGGGCCAAGCTCTGCTCGAGGTCTGAACTCACCCCAAATTCTGATTAACATCAAAGGTAGAAGTTTACGGGAAGCCTTATTGGAGAAAGCACAAGGAGGCCCATTGTGGAGGTCCAAAATGGCCACAGGCTTCTGTTCCAAGAAGCCACAGGGACTCCCCCCGATCATAAAGCTAGTCCAGGGCGCCTGGGTGGCTCAGTTGGTTAAGCAACTGCCTTCGGCTCAGGTCATGATCCTGGAGTCCCTGGATTGAGTCCCGCATCGGGCTCCCTGCTCGGCAGGGAGTCTGCTTCTCCCTCTGACCCTCCTCCCTCTCATGTGCTCTCTCTCATTCTCTCTCTCTCCAATAAATAAATAAAATCTTTAAAAATAAATAAATAAATAAATAAATAAATAAATAAATAAATAAATAAAAATAAAGCTAAG